TTGTGACCTCGGCGTAGGACTCAATACTCAGGACCTTGTCAAGTTCTTGCGGCGCCATTTGTTTTAAGATGTTTCCAAGATGGCGGGACTGGCACCGGCTTCGTAAGACGTTCGTTCGTTCACTATTTTGTGCAGTGTGGCGTCTTTTGACTATGTTTATTCACAGCGACAGAGTTAAGCTCTTTTGTTGCTTCGTTTGAAACTTCCGGAAACCTGGAAACATCTACCTTCTTGAGATGGCTCTGAATTTGTTGATGTGTGGTTTTCGTTTGTTTATGTTTTACTGGACTCGGTATGATACGGATCTTGAACAGATGTTGAAGAAAAATCGCCAAAATATTCGTCAAAATGGACACGGAAAGCTGGAAACTTCCATTAAAGTAGGTATTAAGCCTGGAGGAGCTCATAATCGGCATTCAGAAACTGTAATTAATTAAATTCGTCAATTTAAAAACAAACAAACAAACAAAAAACTGCAATAATAACAAAGGTTTGGCAATAGTTGTGGCAAAATTCTCCACGCAATAGCTTTTTACCTTTCATTTTCCTGAAATTTTATTGATTACTTTGAGCTAATCTTGAAATCTGATTGTTTGTTTTGTTTTACTGTCCCATTCTCATTGGCTGAGGAAAAGATGCGATTTAGAGAAAAAATAGTGCAATTCGTGAATAAATCCCACCAGTGAGAGCCAATCAGATTGCAAGGATAACCAGTGATTTCAAAATGGATTTAATAATTTTTTTTTTTTATAAGGAGCTAACGTGGATCACATTTGGAGGATTTACGACATCAGTCTGATATCTCAGTGCGTTGATAGCTAAGCGCAGTATCAGTTAGTGCTCTTTCTTTTAGCCAGCTTCCTGCCAGTATAGTTCATTCAAAATATCAGTTCGTTCCTGACTGGCTAAATGACGACGGAGTTAATTTTTCTTAACGAGACAACGCAGATCAAATTTGGAGCATGTACAACATTAAACGACTAGCGTTTTACTACTGGACGACTGACATCAATCACCTTATAATAGTAAAAAGCAATAGTGGAGGAATCAGGTTGGGAAATTGAAAGCAATTGTGCTAGGGCAGTCTAATGCGCATGTCTGCACAATCTTCTTTGAAAAAAAAAGAACTTCACGCAGTTTAACTATAGACCGGTTTTACTCACGTAGCCAGCAAAAGAAATCCTTTACATAAGAAAAAAGCTCAACTCCTAAACGATTGGTTTGGTACACCAACATGGCCGCCGTCTTATTGTTTTGGAACACCAATATGGCTGCCATGACGTCATGTGAAAATGATTTCTTCGTCTTAACAATATAAATCGTTTTTACTCACGTGGCTTACAGCTATTCAGATTTATTATAACAAAAGAATGTGTTTGTATAGAAACATTTTTTAGTCCCACAGGATTGGTGTGGGACACCAACATGGCCGCGGTTTCATTGTTTTGGAACACCAATATGGCTGATGTGACATCATGTGAAAACACTCTATTTGAAGAAGAGTCTTCCGGAGGTTACCTGCAAAATGGCGAAGAGACCAGCCTTGGAATGGCTGTAAATACACCTCTTTTGTGTTACCAGTATGGACAGCGAAGCACAGAATTCCTGCTAGAAGTGTGGCGTTGTCTTTCACACAATCGACAGGGTCTTCGAGAATGAGTGTAACACTAACCAGGCCGGTCGTCGTGTCATCAATATCTATGACTTGTTGTCCCCTCCAGAAACTCGGTAATCCACGATACCAACATATCGAGGTTGCAGTCCATAGCAACATATCCGGGTGGATGAAAGGAATATGTCAAAGTCTTATTTGCCTTATAACAAGGAGAGATACAGGTATACAGTCAAACCCCTATTAAAGGGTCCCCTTTGAGGAAATGGGAGGTGGTCGCTTTATAGGGTTGGTACCTTATAGAGGTTCATCTACTTTCAATATTTTTTAGATTGGACTGATTGCTTAGTGAACATGGAATCTCGTCTAGACAATCATAATGAACATGAAATTCTGACTATTTCAGTTCGGACTTTCATCTGTCATCGTCTTTTCCAAAAGAAAGTCAAACTACGTGTATTTTAAAATCTGATGGCTAACCTCCAAATCGGGATGAACAAAAGGTGGCCGGGTAATTGGAGTTTCATTTACAGCATTTTACTGACATAGATTTCGGAACTTTGATAACTGGCCGCTTAACAAGAAATGGCCGCTTCATCGGTGGCCGATTAATAGAGGTTTGACTGCAGTTAGGTAGGTTCAAGCGTACACTGTATCATTCCGTACTGTGTGTCATGATGTACATATATTATAGTGTCCAATTTTGAAGCTAAAATAAACAAGGCACTTCACTCATTTCTCACGAAAAACGCGGAAAAAGATCCATACATGGCAGACATCGGCTGTAAAGCCATTGAACTAGATATCTAGTGAGTCCAAGAGTCCAATATTGCTAAAAAAAAATCAACCTCCTGGATTGTTTGAGTTCAAAATGTCCATTTGATAAAGTTCGCTTTTCTTTGGCTTATCTTTACAGTCACTATTCGGCTGCATTTGTACAATTTAACAAAACTCCTAACTATCAAACTATTTGTTTTGACTCTAGATTACGCCGTTTTTGAAGCCTTATGTAGCTTAATTGCGAATTAGCGAAATGATGCAAGCAGTTATTTTTTCTTAACGGTCGAGGTAGCGCAGAGCAAATTTAGAGGATATGAGACATAAGTCGATTAGTGTTTTACTACTGGACGATTGACATTAATCATCTAACAATAAAAATAATAATAGTGGAGGAATTAGGACGTGCAATAGAAAGCAATTGTGCCTTGGCAGTCTAGTGCGCATACGTGAACAATGTACCTTTAGAAGAACCACACGCAGTTCAACAATGGGACGTTTAGATTCACCTGGCCATTAATCAAGCACATTTATTGGAGCAAAAGTAGGTTTTTACAAAGAAAAAGGCTCGACTAGACTATATAAAAGTTTGGTTTGGTACGCCGACACGGGCACCGTCTCATTGTTTTGGAACACCAATATGGCTGCCGTAACGTCAAGTGAAAACGCGCAATTCGTCTTGGCACCATAGAGCGTTTCCTCTCACGTGGCCAGCAGTCATTCAAATTTGATTATAACAAAGAAAGTGTTCACATAAGGAAAAAGTTCAACTCCCACAGGTTTGGCCTGGGACACCAATATGGCCGCCGTTTCTAAAGTGTCTATTGAAGTTTCCTTTCTTTTGCTAATTATTACAGTCACTATTTTGCCGCATCCGTTAAATTTAATTTAATTTTGGCTCTTTCGATCATGTCGTTTGGGAAGTCTTATGTAGCTTACTAGCGAAATGGCGAGTCCTCAGAGAGCAGAAGAGACCAGCCTTGGAATGGCTGTACAGACAACTCTTTGGTTTCATCAGTGTGGAGAGTGAAGCCCAGCATTCCTGCTACAAGCGTGGCGTTGTCTTTTGCTCGCCGACTAGTGATGTCTCCGAGGATGAGTGGAACACTAACCAGGCCGCTGGTCATCTCATCAATATCAACAAGGCGTTCGGTCCCCTCCAGAAAGTCGGTAATCCAGCCCCTGTAACCATGTTCACCTGACCCAAACCTGTTTTGGTAGCTGATAATATGACTCCACCATCCTGTATCTGGTCTTCCTTGGTAGGTCGTCAGCAGTTCGCGGAACACTTTTTCCACAAGAACCCACCACTCCGATGATAAGCCAAGGTCGTTCTCTATGGGTTCAAGCAGTGTTCGCAGTACCTTCAGTTTGGATTGTAACTTGCTCCAGTCGTCTTCAGTGCCTAGCATCTCCACTGCAGGGATTCCACAAGAGAATAACGGTTTAAAGGAGAAATATTTTTGAACTGAATACATCAATGTAATCTGCGAAACAATCTTCTGGACTGCAGTTGTGGTGCTGAAATCTGCCGTCATTCCATCCACGAACTCAGGTACTTTCACGTTTTCTTGTACTCTCTTCGCTATCTGATCAAAGAACCAGCTGTAGTCCACAGTATAGATGCTTGTATCAGGCACTACTACCTTGATGGTTTTCTTTCCTTCGTGATCAACGAACATCTTGCGAACGGACTCTTTGTTCGCGTTTTTGTCGATG